GCCAGGCTGAGGTGTGGGCGTGGTGGGCTTGCCCTTGGGTCTCCCAAGGTCACGTCCAGGGAAGAGGCGCCCACACCTGCTCAGAGGAGCCCTCACCAGCGTGCAGAGCGCAAGCCTGAGCCCTGGCCCCTTCTCTCCAGGCCTGTTTCTCCATCCGCGACTGCCCGGTGTGGATGGACTCCAGCACCACAGCCCAGTGCCGCCAGCTGGAGGCCGCCGTGGGCGGGGCCCAGGCTCTCAGCCGCCTCACAGGCTCCCGTGCCTACGAGGTGAGCAGGGCTCGCCTTGGGCTGGGCTGGGACCGGGAGGAAGGTCTGGTAGTTGGCTCCAGTCCCTTTTCTCTCAGTGTCTGGGAGGACACAGCTGGTGGCCAGTCCCTGTGGGGATCACATGAGGCTGGGTGGGTCCCAGAGGAGCCAGGACTAGGCACTCTGGCCCCGGGTTCCGATTAAGGCTGTCCTGCCTCCTTGTGCTGCCCATTGAGCAAGGGCAGGCCTGGCCTCCCCTGTGTGTGCCCAGGTGTGAACACGGCTGTGCTCCTCGCGTCAGCCGGGGTGACGATGGTGCCTTGCTTTCAGCCTCTCTCACTCAGGTTTTGGGTAGTTTTGAAGCTGAAAGGACTCAGTGCTTGTAAGACAATACAGTTCCTGGCAAAGTGAAAAAATAAAGAGTGCCTGTTTCCTGCTGGCCTCAGCCAAGGCCCCACCCCACCCACCAGTGGCTGTCACCAGCCCAGCCCCAGCTGGGGCCATGCGACCCTCGCTGGAGCACAGGTTTTGGGGACAGGGCCAAGCCCACCGGGGCCACCTGAGGTCAGAAGGATGTGGGTGGGGAAGGGACCCCCGAGTCCCCTGCACGGGTGCCGTGATCAGAGCAGGCCTCCCCGCGTGTCAGTCCGGAGCGAGGCTTGGTCACTCAGGTGGCCAGCAGGTGCCAAGCACTGCTGAGGCCTTTTTAAAGTCTTCACGTACTAACAGATTTCCAGAGCGTGGAGCTGCTCATTCCATGTAGGATTTAGGTTTTTAAGAGTTTGCCGTCTTTTTTTCAGCGATTTACAGGAAACCAAATTGCAAAGATTTACCAGCAGAACCCCGAGGCCTACTCACACACGGAGGTTGGTTAAACGTTCCTACTTGATTGAAAGTCACAGTTGAATTCCTTTTCTAATACTTACCTTTAACAGAAATACATCTCATGTGCATTGGTGGGAAAAAACACAGACATTGATTAGCGGACATTAAAAATGATACATTCACTTTGCTTCTTTCTCTCATTTGGAAACAATTTGCTTGTTTCTGTGGCTGGGCCCAACGGGCCTTTTTAATCTTGGAAGTTGACATCCAATTTACATGATAATGATTCAGGATTACTTTGCAGCATTAGCCATGTGGGCTGTGGGCAGGGGTGAAAAGCCCGCTCTGAATTCTGTGGGAAACACAGGACAGAGGTGGCTGATGGGGGTAGGAGGTGTCGGTGTTCTCTGCCCCGGTCCAGGGGCCCGTGGTTCCCTTGTGGAAGCACAGACACCCCAGCTGACATCTGAAATCTGGGTCAATCGAAAGCTTCCTAGGGGCCGGCTTTCACTGATTCTTGCTCTGAACCCTCAGGTGTCTTTTTTGGGTCTGAGTCCTGTGGTCACACATCCCACTTCCCTTGTGACTAGATACAGCAGTGGTTCTCAACCTCCTGGCCCTTTAAATACAGTTCCTCATGTTGTGACCCAACCATAAAATTATTTTCGTTGCTACTTCATAACTGTAATGTTGCTACTGTTATGAATAGTAGTGTAAATATCTGATATGCAGGATGGTCTTAGGCGACCCCTGTGAAAGGGTCGTTCGACCGCCAAAGGGGTCGCGACCCACAGGTTGAGAACCGCTGGGATACAGAGACCACAGAAGAGGAGGCAGGAGATCGGCACCACGCTCCCTGGATGCCGGGTGGAAAACCCGCTCCCCTAAGGGTGCCTTTCTCTGTTCAACTTGACAGTGGTATGGACTGTCAGAACCTGCGGGGTGAGATGCCTCGGCCGTTACTGGGGCATCTTGCTCACAATAGAAAGCTCTTCTCGTGTGTGTGTGTGTGTGTGTGTGTGTGTGTGTGTGTGTGTGTGTGTGAAGTATTCAATTGCTTAGAGCAGTGGTCGCCAACCGGTGGTCCGCAGACCACTGGTGGTCTGTGAGGTCCGAAAGGTTGGCGACCGCTGGCTTGGAATATATGGAAGTGAGTCATATCTCAGTTTCCTTCTCTTACAGAGAATTTCCTTGGTCAGCAGTTTTGCCGCTTCCCTGTTCCTGGGGTCCTACTGCCCTATTGACCACAGTGACGGTGAGTGAGCCTGCGGAGTCCTGGGCGTGTGCCCGTGCAGTGGGCGCGCAGGCAGTGTGAGCCTCGCCCACCTGGCCGGTGCCAGTCTTTCAGGCCTGTTATCTGCTGCCAAGCAGGGCGGGTGTTAGTTACCTTGCTGTTGGCAGACGACCCGAGCAGTTCGCTGCTGCAGGTCACAAACGTTTCTCTGCCCAGAGTCTCTGAAGGGCAGGAATGTGGGAGCAGCTTAGCTGGGTGCTTCTGGCTCAGGAGCTCTCGTGAGGGGGCCGTCCAGCTGGCGACCCTGGGCTGCGGCCATCCAGAGGCATGATGGGCTGGAGGATCCAGGTTCACACACAGGCCTGTTGGTCAGAGGCCTCGGTTCCTGGAGGCTGTTAATGACAACACGGCTGGATTCCCCCAGGAAGGACTGACACCCTAATCTGGGAATTGAGGTGCCATCACTTCTGCCCCAGCCTATAGTCACACAGACCCACCCAGGTGTGGGGAGGCGAGGACCTCCCAGGCGTGAACACCAGGACTCGGGGGTGAGCCGGGGCCAATCTTGGAACCTGGCTCCCCCAGAAGTCACTTATTGACGTTTTTGTTCACATTTGGGAAACTCCTGGGAGTTGTGAGCTCTGGAATAAAAACCTGAACAAAACCCAGCTGACGCGGCTCAGGTGGCTGAGAGTCATCCCGTGCACCAGGAGGTCGCCGGTTCAATTCCCAGTCAGGGCACATGCCCAGGTTGCAGGCTCGATCCTCAGTGAGGGGGTGGGGGGGCGTGCAGGAGGTAACGGACCTATGTTTACCTTTCATCGATGTTTCTATCCCTCTTTCCCTCTCCCTTCCTCTCTCTGAAATCAGTAAAAGCATATTTTAGAAAAATAAAATAAAAAGCCTTAGCAAAAATAAATGGAAATGGTACCAGGGAGGGAGGAAGGCTGGGAGGAGGTACGGAAGGAACTCTTGGGTGGGCCTAGGCTGCAGGAGTGACCGGAAGCAGGAGGAGGATGTAGAGCCGGAGCCCAGACCCGGGAAAGTGGCTGCAGAACAGAGTGAGTGCTCTCAGCGCCCGGGAATCCAGCTGAAGTTTTCGAGTGCCGTCGTGTTCCAGACGTTATTCGAGTTTTCAGGGGGGAAAAAATGAGGCAGTTAAGTTAAGGAGTGCCCCCCCACCCCCAGCTTCACTCACAGTCTGGAGAAGTAAAGGTCCCTGCAGCTAACGGCATAGAACTCAGATCAGCAGAACTTACACGTGGACGAGCGGGGGTGTGCACCTGTGCTCCCCACCTCTCCCTGAGGCAGGGTGCCTCTGGGGCAGGTCACATGCTGCTGCTCACTGCTCCTGTAGGCATGCCGCCGCCGGAGGGCCAGGATCTTCAGCCTCCGCTGGGCCTTCCGCTCCCTCACCTGAGGAGTCACTGCCTAACTTACCAGCTGCCTCTCATGGGCAGGTGACTCCATCCCTGCCCCGTCCCCCTGTCTGCCTCCACCTGTGCTCCGGGTTCCATCCCCTTCCCCATCCCGAGCAAAGCCTTGGGAGAAATAGGTCGTGGTAGCCAAGACGAGGTGAGCTCAGGGAGGAGCAGGAGGAAGGTTAGGGGCGTCTGAGCGCTCTCCCGGAAGTTCGATGTGGTTGGGAAGTCCCGAGGGCTGGCCCACATCAGCAATGGGCTACCTCTGAGGAGACACCTTGAACTTCAGGGGACACAGAGCAGTTCCTTGTCAACATATTCCCCTCCCCTGGCCAGGTCTCGGCCAGGTCTGGGAGCAGCAGCTTTCCAGGTAGCCATGGTGTCTGAGCTGTTGAGGAAGTATTTGGAAGAAGCAGTAGTGGGACGGGGCCTGTGGTTCCCAGGGCCCTGCTGGCCGCTGGCTGGCTGGGTCCAGCGTGACCCAGGGGCATGGTACACCTTCCGCTGGTCCAAGTTTGCTGCGAGAGCATGATCCGCCCTCCCAGATCTGTGCATTTTTGCAAGATGTTTCTAATCCTTGTTTCCTGCCGTCCGTAGGTTCTGGAATGAACTTGTTGCAGATCCAGGACAAAGTCTGGGCCCAGGCGTGCCTTGGTGCCTGTGCACCCCATTTAGAGGAGAAGCTGGGCCCCCCGGTACCGTCATGCTCAGTTGTGGTAGGTCCTCTTTCCAGGGACGTGGCTCCTTTAAGAGCTGGAGGGAACAAACGTTTCTTCCCAGACACCAGGAAATCTTATCATGTATTTTAAACTTTCAGGACTAAAGTAAAGTCAGGGAAAGGGGGGGGGGGAAACGCTTTCTTGTCCTAACTGTGCTTTCTAAAGATGACGCATCTGTCTAGAGGGGTCCCTGCCCTCTGGTCCCACAGCAGCTCGTGGAGGCACCTGAGGGCCCTGGTTCCTGGGGGACCCCCTCCCCGCACTGCCTTTTGGGTTTATTTTCTTTGGACCATTGATATCGGCGTTCATGTGTCCAGTTACTCTTTTTTAAAAAAAATGTTTATTAATTTTAACGAGAGAGGCAGGGAGAGAGAAACATCTATTTGCTGTTGCTCTTACATATGCATTCATTGGTGGTTATTATATGTGCCCTGACCGGGGATGGAACCCCCAACCTTGGCGTAGGGGGACGATGCTCGAACCGACAGAGCTCCCCGGCCAGGGCTGTCTAGTGGTTCTTAATCCGATGGCTGGGCTGATCGGGGGAGCGTGTCAGGGTTTGTCTACACCTCGGAGTTGGCTTACGGGTGCCCCCTGGTAATTCATTTGCTTAGTTTTCATGCTACATCCAGAATTTGAAGCTCTCGTGACATGTGCAAGTTGCAGATGGGCTTGCTCTGGTGACCTTGACTCTCAACATCAAGTGGTCTTCGAGGCGGTGGGATGACCTGTCCGGGCTCCTCTGGCCTTTTGTGAACAGGAGGGACATCCTGGTTTGCCACAGGGAGTGACGCAGCTCCGGGCTGTGACCTGGAGCCGGTCCCAGTCCCGTGGCCTGCGGGTGGACGCTGTGCTGGGAAGGCGGGCTTGGCCTCAGCAGAGGGTCCCGGCTTTTCCTCCTCAGGGGCCCGTTTCTTCCTACTACGTCCAGCGCTACGGGTTTCCTCCGGGATGCAAAGTGGTGGCCTTCACTGGGGACAACCCAGGTGAGTCCCCAGGGGATATCGCTCCCCAGGGAGCCTGCCTTGGTCCGTAGCCTGGCCTCCATGAAGCCCCCCTGGGGTGGGCCCCCCCCCCCCTGGCTGTAGGCTCCACTCCTGAAAGCTGGCTCCCTGGACTTGCCCCACCGTGGCCCTGCCTGTCCTCAGGAGCCACAGGGCCGCCTCCCCACCCAGGAGAAAACTGACGGCGATCAAGGAAGGCAGTCCTGCCCACCGCTCCTGGACCTGCCATTTCTGGTCCCAGCTAAGCCTCCCACTCCCTCTCACCCTTCCTCTGGGACTCGGTTTTGAGTCCCTACCCGTCATTTGATCTACGGTCCTCATGCACACACCTTGTTTTCCTTTCAAAGTGAAAATAAGTTCATTGAGTCTCCTTAGGACAGTGATGGTGAACCTTTTGAGCTCAGCGTGTCAGCATTTTGAAAAACCCTAACTTAACTCTGGTGCCGTGTCACATATAGAAATTTTTTGATATTTGCAACCATAGTAAAACAAAGATTTATATTTTTGATATTTATTTTATATATTTAAATGCCATTTAACAAAGAAAGATCAACCAAAAAAATGAGTTTGCGTGTCACCTCTGACACGCGTGTCATAGGTTCGCCATCACTGCCTTAGGAGCATGTGTTAGTTCTTACCTCCTCTCCCAACGAGAAGAACGCCCGGGAGGATACTGGGCTTGCTTCTGACCCCTGAAGTGTCCGCTTCTGGGCACGTGTGAGCTGAAATGACAAAGAAGCAGCTTTCTGTCCTTTTTCTTGGACTTTGGTTTCAGGCCGGTCCCTCCCTGAGTCTCATCTTCAGGCTGCTGTTGCTTTAAATAATACATTTTTTGCACCTTCATTAAAACAACAATAACAAGCTGACGAACAAAAGCGTATGCTGTTGTTTTATTCACAAGGGATGCCTCTTCATTGCAGAAAAAAAATGAAATACTGACAAACCAAAGGAAGGATGTAAAAATCATCCATAAACAGTTAAAATTGGGCTGGGACCAGCCACTTCCCTAAAGCAGTCCAAACTCCCCACCCACTGAGGCCTGACAGTACAAGTGATGGCCGTCCTTCCGACCTTTTTGTGTCCAACCCACCAGGGCAGGCTTGTGTCCAACATGTTCATGGTTGTCTCGGTACGGTTGTCCCAGCATTGATTTCCCCAGTCCCCTGTGGTGGAGGTTGGTGTGGCTTCCGGTGCGAATGCTGAGATGCACATCCTGTGTTGCATCTTGTCCCTGGACTCTGGGGCCTAGAGGATACGCTCTCGGGGGGATTCCTGGACCCAAGGCTCTGACACACACTGCTGATTGCACCTCACCAGCAATATCTGAGTCCACCTCTTCCCACACTTCTCCTTTCACTCATTCATTCATTCTCTCGATGTTTAGTGAGCATCTACTATATGACAGGCCTTCTTTCAGTTATCAGTGAACAAGGCAGATCGAGATCGCTGTGTGGGCCACATGACCCGGCCCTTTCCCTACCCCTGGGCCAGGGAAAGCCCGTCATTCCCGTCTCACGTCTGTCTTTTTCTGCCGTATGTGTCCTGGTGTCTTGATCTGGCCCCCTCCGTTCTCGGCTCTCCTGGGAGCCCCTGACGGTGGGTGGGGAGTGTGGACTGCCTTAGGGAAGAGGTCCCAGCCCAAATCAAAGGCCCTGACCACAGAGCCTCCACTCTCTCCCCCCTGGGACTTCCTTTGGGGACCTCCTGAGCCCTCAGGTCACCCTGTTCCTGCCTCTACCCTTAGCATGTGGGTTCAGGGAGGCGGGTGGGGGCTGTGCTCCCATCTGGGGGGCGATTGTCGTTTGCTCCGTGGCTCCCAGGTGGCTAACCAGAGGCTCCCCTCCCATCCTCAGCGTCGCTGGCAGGCATGAGGCTGGAGGAAGGTGACATTGCGGTAAGGTGACTGCTCACGCCCACAGGTGGAGCCAGCTCTGTCTGCCCTGGGGGTCATCGCTGTTGCCTATCAGAGGGCCTGCTGGTTCCAAAGGGCAGCGGAGGGAGGGGACAGGGAGACCCAGGGCCTGCCCACATCTCTCTCAGAAGGCCATTCGCCTTGGCTGAGTCCTCTGCCCGCCTTGACAGTGGCCAGTCCTGGCGGGCACAGTGGCAGAAGGTGTGAGGATGTGAGCTCCCCACTGAGAAAGGCAGACACCACCCATGCCCTCCTGGGTGTAGTGGGCAGTCGCTTGGGGAACCAGTCATCCATCACCCACACCATTAGTTAGACGCAGTTGTGGTGAGTTCTAGAAAGTCAGCCCGTAGGATCCGGGACAGCCTGTATCTGGGGAGGCTCCTGTGGTGCGGAAGGGTCAGAGGAGGTTTCTCCCCAGAAGTGGCCTTTACTCCGCGGTCTGCAGCACAAGGAGGGAAGCGTTGGGGTCAGGGCGGTGGAGCTGGGCAAGGACAGGGTACCTCACCCTGCCCCTCTCTCCTCAGATCAGCCTGGGCACCAGCGACACCCTGTTCCTCTGGCTCCAGGAGCCCACGCCCGCCCTGGAAGGCCACATCTTCTGCAGCCCGGTCGACCCCCGGCACTACATGGCGCTGCTGTGGTAGGTTGGGTGGGGAGGAGGGCGAGGCGGGCCGTCTGTCCCCGTCGGGAGCACCCCAAGTTGTCCCACTGAGCAGGCTCCTGTGGGCAGCCGAGACCCCGGGACTCACTGGGTCCTGCTGACACAGAGCTGGGTGGGAGCAACCCAGGACCTGGAGTCCCCCAAACCCAGGTCCCAATTCCAGCCCTACCACCCACACCCTGGGTGCTCAGCCTGTGTGTGGCCTGGGGCAGACGCCCCAGCACAGTGGTCGGCAAACTCATTAGTAAACAGAGCCAAATATCAACAGTACTTCTTCAAAATAGACTCGCCCAGGCCGAAAACCGACTTCTGCGCATGGGCCACGAAGTTTCCATTGCACTGTACGCGTGCACCCGCACATGGTATTTTGTGGAAGAGCCACACTCAAGGGGCCAAAGAGCCACTTGTGGCTCGAAAGCTGCAGTTTGCCGACCACTGCCCTAGCACGTCTGGGCCACGCTTAGCTCCTAACGTGAGGAGAAGGGGAGCGTTTACTTTGTACTGTGATGACATGTTTGGCATATGGTCGATTCAGTTCCTACAGGAAGGGAGTGCGCTGAGCACAGGCCTTCAGACACTCGCTGAAAACTACTGAGGGAGGTTTCTGAGCCTCTAAGCCCCAGGAACTGCTGGGGAATATGTGGGTCTAGCAGATCTAGCCAGCCCCTCCCCGTTGTGCAGGTGGTACCGCGTGCAGAACCCCAGCTCCCTGCCCTTCTTGGGGCTCCTCTGTGGCAGCCTCCTCTGTAAACGGCCCGAGACAAGTGGGTTTCCAGGTGATTCCTGGGACCTGAGCTGGGCCTGGGACCTGAGGGAGAGCCGCAGATCCCTGCCATGCAGTGGCTGGGGGTTGTGGTCCAGCCTGACCTGCAGCTCCTCTTCTTGGCAACACGTGTGTCCAGTCAGCGAGCACGGGGGCGCTCCCTCAGGGTTGTGTGCACTTCTGCAGCTTTAAGAATGGCTCGCTCATGAGAGAGAAGATCCGCGACGAGTCGGCTTCCGGTTCCTGGAGCGAGTTCTCGAAGGCGCTGCGGTCCACGGAGATGGGGAATGGCGGAAGCTTGGGTAGGCTGTTGGGTGCTGCGCAGGCCAGGCCCGGGGAGGGGCAGCAGCTGCCTGTGGAAGGCGCAGGGCCTGGTGCCCCATGAGTAGGGGGAGAGGAGGCCCAGGGAGAGGCCCAGGAGAGCCCTGTGTGTCTACACTTGCGCTCCATGGGCCTGACAGCTGGTCTGAGACCCTGTGTTCTGAGTGAGTGGAAGATGGGGCCATCGCTGCATCTCCTGCCCCCTCAGAGCGCCTGGTGGCAGCCTCAGAGGTGGCAGCCACAGTGCCTGCTCCCTTCTGGTGCATCCTGTGCACAGCTTTCTGCTGCAGGCACCAGGTCCTGTTAGGAAAAGTGCCCGGCGTCTGGAACAGGCCTCTGAGCAGGGAGGGGGCGTGGGCAGGTATTTCAGGGCTAGTGGGCAGCTGCCTGTGGCCCGGCTGCCAGGTGAGCGTAGGGAGAGCTGTCTAAGGAAACTAGCCGAGGCCTTTCCGGATGCCCTCTGTCCTGCCGGAGGGCCAGGGACTAAGAGTATTCGTGGATGTCCTCCCGTGGGTGAGCGGGGCCCAGCGACAGAGATGTGGGGTCGCTGCACCCCGCCCTTTTTCTAAGTCTTGAGACGCCCACCTTTTGTTTTTGATCGCTGACAGCAAATCTCTTCCTGGTCTGTTTCAGGTTTTTATTTTGACGTCAAGGAGATCACCCCTGAAATGATCGGGCGTCATAGGTTTAGCCCAGAAAACCGTGAGGTATGTGCTACGTGTATTGGAGCTGCATCGGCTCCATTTCTGAGTATTACATTTAACAGTTGCCTATGGAATGGTGCTCCTTTTAGGGCTCCATTCATTCACTCATCCATTGATAAAACAAACGTTTTTGAGCCTCTGGCCGGGTAGCTCAGTTGGTTAGAGAGTCATCCCGATATGCCAAGGTTTCCGGTTTGATCCCTGGTCAGGGCACATACAAGAATCAACCAATGAATGCATGGATAACTGAAACAACAAATCGAGGTCTCTCTCTTTCTCTCTCTTTCTCTCTCTCTCTCTCTCTCTCCTCTTCCTCCCCCGCCCCCTTGCTCTTTCCCCCTCTCCCTTCCTTACTCTCTCTCTCAAATCAATTAAAATAATTTATTTTGATGTGCCAGGGTGCATGCTTGATGTGGGGAGTCAGCAGCTATGCCTGAGCTCCATTGGAGGCCTGAGTCCTGCGTTCCGACTCTGGGTCATTGGTTAACATGCTAACACACACATGAGTGGACAGTGAGCGCTCCTCACTCCGTGCTCGCTGTCTCCTGGACACAGGTCCCAGCGTTCCCCGCGGATGTGGAGATCCGAGCACTGATTGAAGGACAGTTCATGGCCAAGAGGATTCATGCCGAGGGCCTGGGCTATCGAGTCCGTAAGTGAGCGGTGGCGGGCTGTGTTCTGGGGCGGGAGCCAGGGTCTCGCTCGCACCGCGGGGCTGGAGGTCCTGTTCGGCCGTCAGACATGGCCTGGCGGGGTCTGTCTGTTAAGGCTCCATCGCAGGGGCCTCCGGCAGGAGAGAAGAGGAGCCTGACCCTGGTGGGGCCTGAAAATGAGATGAATGGCTCTTGTGGGCAGCCTACACGAGGGGACAGGTGTTCCTGTTTGCCCGCTCTGTCCTCTGTAGCCTCATCTCCAGGCCAGGAGTTATAGGACTTGACGATCTTTCTTTCTTTTTTAAGTATGTTTTTATTGATTTCAGAGAGGAAGGGAGGGGAAGAGAGAGATAGAAGCATTAATGATGAGAGAGAATCACTGATTGGCTGCCTCCTGCACGACGCCCACTGGTGACTGGGCCCGCAACCAGGGTAGTGACCTGACTGGGAATCGAACCGTGACTTCCTGGTTCATAGATAGACGCTCAGTCACTGAGCCACACCGGCCGGGCTCGGCAATCTTTCTGTAACCCTAAGCTCCAGCCTGCAAACTGAATGTCTCAAGACCTGGGCCCTGAGGACATGGGCACGCAGGTGGGATAGGTCTGGGCTGAGGCCATGGCTGGACCTTGACCTCCATCTCGCCTTCCAGGCCCCACCTCCCTGGGGGCACCGTTCTGGGCATTTCAGTTCGGATAGGGAGGAATGGGATGTGGAGCCACTGTCCACACTGAGAGGTCTGGAACGGAGCAGCAGAACCAGGGCTCGGGGAGCCCATGGGGGAAAAGGGGGTTTCTAAGAACTCGAGCTATGGAATGGGCAGCTTTAGGAGGTGAGTGAGTCCCCCGTACTGATGGCGTTGGTATGGTCTGGGGTTTTTGCAAGGAAACCAGGTTTCTAACATGTATTTGTCCCCCTGGGCAGCAGCTGTTGTCACTAGAGAAGGTAGAAAACTGAAGCCCCTTCGCTTGATGGCCTTCTCCGGGTACTTTCATGGGCAGTCTAAGTTCTAGGCAGCACGTGTTATGCTTTTGAACCCACCAAGTAAGCGGATATTAAAAAATAAGCATCAGGGAGACCTTTTGAAGACCTGTTAGGCAGCACCTACTAAGCTGCATGCACAGCCCTCGGCGGACGTGTGTCAGAAGTATGTATGCGTGTTCTCCAAAGACGTGCTGGAGACCACGCATCAGGGCTCTGTGCTTGACGCCCCACATGGGAAACAACCCAATACCCATTGATGACAGCCAGGATCCGTGCCTTGTGGGTGTTCACACAATGTGATAGTACACACAGAAATGAAAAGGGCCTGGCCTCAACCGCATGGGACAGAATCGATCTCACCAATGGAAGTCTGAGCAAAAGAAGCCAAACCCAAATACGTGTGGCAGGATTCCGTGTACACCAAATTCGAGAGCAGACACAGCTGTTTGCTGTGGTTGGAAGGGTTCTCTAGCTGTCAGGAGGGGCAGCTGGGTGTGCAGGGAGAGGCAGCGAGGGCAGGGCGGTCCTCCTGGGCTCAGGAAGGTAATGTGATCATGCCCTCATTCCCAGCCTTTAAAGCATTTCCTGGGCAAAACAGCATAAAGTTACTTATCCTCTTAGCGAGCCTAAAAGCACAATCAAACCTGTTCGCCAGCTCTGCTGGGTTCCTCTCCAACAGGATCATGTAAATGAATGAGCTTGCTCCCCCTACACACACACCTACACCCCTCCCCATGCCCTCCCAACTCCCCCCACAGCACTAAGAGGCGTCATCTTCCAGCTGCTGTGTGGATGGACCCGCTTGGGTTCCTTCTTGATCAGCCCTAATCTTGTTATAATAGTGTTTAAAGAGAATAAAGAGGCACTTGATGTAGGGCTGGTGGTCATGATAATAATAGCTCCCAACATTTATTAAGCACCTACTGTGTGCCCAGCCTGGTTCTAAGCACTCATTCCTTACTAACAGCAGCGCTCCGAGGTAGGTGCTGGTAGTTACTCCCACTCCCCAAAGTAGGAAACGTGTTAAGTCGCTTGCTGAACACGTTGAGGCTGGCAGAGCTTCTGAACCAAGCTTCTGGCTCTAGACTCTTGGTTCTTTTTTAAAAATTTTTATTGATTTCAGAGAGGAAGGGAGAGGGAGAGAGAGAGAAAAACATCAATGATGAGAGAGAATCATTGATCGCTGCCTCCTGCATGCCCTCTACTGGGGATTGAGCCCACAACCTGGTCATGTGCCCTTGACAGGAATCGAACCTGGGACCCTTCAGTTCGTAGGCCAATGCTCTATCCACTGAGCCAAACCAGCTAGGGCCAGACTCTGAGTTCTTAACTACTGGCTACAGATGCTTTATTTAAAGAACCATCGCTCTCTTGATGTTTAGACACCGTCAGACATGCACCCATCTGCGCTGGGCTAACACCATGGTCCCTTTCAGCTTATGTTTCTGTGTATATATTCATTTTGTTGAGGTTGGTTTGTAAAAGCAATAAAACCTTATCTTAGCAAGTTTGGAAAGTAAAGAAAACTACTTAGAATCTCCTCTTCCAGCCCCTTGTACCACCTGGAAGTTCTTCCAGTCTTCTTGATGGGCTTATTTCTACTTTGCTATAGTCCTACTAATATTTCCTTTGTGCATGCAATCCCTGAAGTTTATCAAAAGCCTTCTTCATGGTGCTTTCCCTGCAGTCAGGCAGAGAGGCTATTTTTGTTTCGTTTTTAATATATTTCTATTGATTTCAGAGAGGGAGAGAGAGAGAGAAACACCAATGATGAGGGAGAATCCATCAGTCAGCATGAGCCCTGACCAGGAATCAAACCGTTCATGGTTCATGGGTCGATGCTCAATCACTGAGCCACACCGGCCGGGCAGCACACAAGTCTTAAAGAGAATGCTTCTAGATGTTTCTGTTAAGAATGATGTCTGTTGTACATTTTGGACATATGGCCTTCATCCATTTAATTAAGGTCCCTTCTTTCCTGTTTTGTTGAGAGATTGTTAATAATTAAAAGAAAAAGAAGATGTTAAGAGGTGGGTGGGGCAGCAGCCGCACAAGCCTTTATATGGGACAGAACCAGCTTCGGGTCTCTCCCCCCATCCTCTGTGATAAGCAAGAAGCAATGGCCAACACAAGCCCTTTGTGGCTGAAGAACTCTGGGAAACTGCCAGTCATTTTTTTTCTTTCTCCTTGCAGTGCCCAAGACAAAGATTTTGGCCACTGGAGGGGCATCTCACAACAGAGACATACTACAAGTAAGTGTTGAAAGGATCTCTCCCATATCTGTTCATTCTTTTTAAAAAATTGTTGTTGTTTTTAAAAATTGATTTCAGATAAGAAGGGAGAGAGAGAGAAACATCAATGATGAGAGAGAATCATTGATTGGCTGCCTCTTGCATGCCCCCTTACTGGGGTCCGCAACCCAGGTATGTGCCCTGACTGGGAATCGAACTGTGACCTCCTGGTTCATAGGTTGACGCTCAACCATCCAGCCACACCGGCCGGGTCCATGTCTGTTACTTCTAAGAGCTAGACATTCAGCAGGAGGAATGCCTGTTCCCACTCCTTCCCTCCCAGGAAGCCAGATCTGCTGCCTTGCAGCTTACACTGTGAGCAGGTTGTCTTAGACTCGGGAAATCCGCTGCCCTGTGTAACTCCACTCTGATCCCAGCACCGGCCTCTGTCCCACACGTCAAACCTGACATCGCATGCCAGTGTTCTTGCCTTCCCAAAAGCTCTGCCTTCCAGTGTAAAGATCTCTGATTTCTCAACCATTCCTCTTGTAATACAGTTGCCGGACTTGGTCACGGTCTTTCTGATCCTCCACTATGCTAGAAATATGTGACCAAAATTGGAATCAACCTGCAGATGTCTGACAATCAGGCTGTTACATCTTGGGGCTGAGTATTTTGGGATGTAGCCTTAGCTGTTTGAATAACTGCATTGACTCTTGACTTGTAATATACCTGCCTTAGGTAAGATTCTCTAGAAGCAGAGTCTGAAATGGGCATTTCCTATAAAGTGATGTGTTGCCGAAACTGGTTTGGCTCAGTGGATAGAGCGTCGGCCTGCGGACTGAGGGGTCCCGGGTTCGATTCCGGTCAGGGGCATGTGCCTGGGTTGCGGGCACATCCCCAGTGGGGGATGTGCAGGAGGCAGCTGATCGATGTTTCTCTCTCATCGATGTTTCTAACTCTCTATCTCTCTCCTTTCCTCTCTGTAAAATATCAATAAAATATATTTAAAAAAAAAAAAATAAAGTGATGTGTTGAGAGAGTTCTCCTGGGAGAGGGGGTGGGAGATGCAGGCAGGGCAGAAGGGCAAGCAAGGATGTGCTTTTGGCTGGCATCGGCTTCAGCTCTATCCCGTGGGGAGATCTGGAACAGGAACTCTACCGCAGACTTGTTTTCATCTTGGGGTAAAGGGGCCACCTGGCCATCCTGGGAAGGTGGAAATAACCTCCTGTGAGAGGCAGCCTCTGTTCAGCAGGGAGTACAGTGGGGCCTTGACTTACGAGTGTCCCGACTAACGAGTTTTTTGAGATACGAGCAGTCTCTCGGCCGATTTTTTGCTTTGAGTTGCGAGCTAAAATTCGGGTTACGAGCCAGCTTCAGATACCCCACCGCTAGTTGGCGCAGCGAACGTCACAGTGAACGCCACAGCATCAGCCCAGCATCACGTGTCTCACTCGTTTGTTCACTTTTTGATTTGACATACGAGTAATTTGAGTTACGAGCTCCGTCACGGAACAAATTAAACTCATAAGTCAAGGCCCCACTGTAGTTCTTCTTTTTCTTTTAAATATATTTTATTGATTTTTTACAGAGAGGAAGGGAGAGGAATAGAGAGTTAGAAACATCGATGAGAGAGAAACATCGATCAGCTGCCTCCTGCACACCCCCTACTGGGGATATGCCGACAACGAAGGTACATGCCCTTGACCGGAATTGAACCTGGGACTCTTCAGTCCACAGGTCGATGCTCTATCCACTGAGCCAAACTGGTTAGGGCAAGGGAGTAGTTCTTTTAAGGAGGGACAGTTATGAGCCATTAGTAGCCAATATTCATAGCATCTGGAGAGGGGTGCACAGTGGTCCAGTCAGGGGATACATATAGGGTATCATTGGCATCTACTACAATATCTCTGTTCAATTAAGACCCTCAAGTCTTGCCCTGGCCAGTTTGGCTCAGTGGATTAAGCGTCGGCCCACAGACTGAAGGGTCCTGGGGTCAATTCTGGTCAAGGGCATGTACCTCAATTGCAGGCTCGATCCCAGGGTGCCTGTGGGAGGCAACCAATCGATATGTCTCTCACATCGATGTTTCTCTCTCTGTCGCTCCCTCTCCCTTCCACTCTCTCTATAAATCAATGGAAAGATGTCCTCTGGTGAGAATTAACAACAAAAAAGCCCCCAAGTCTTTTGCATGTGAGCTCCTCTTAGCACATGTCCCCCATTCTATGTGTATGCAACTTATTAGGAGGATCTAAATGGAAAACTTTGTATTTATTCCTATAAAACATGCCCTTGTTCGTTGGGTTTGGGCTTGTGAATATTAGTCCGATACCCAGCCGTCTCCACCTTGACCATTTGCTAAGCATACTTCCTAAATCTTCCTCCTTGTCTTCAATGCCATGGTTAGACAGTGCGGGGACAACCTGGAGAGCTGTGGTCCTCCACTCGAGACTTCCTGTAGGTCATCTGGACCCTTTTATCACGGGCACATGGCCAAGTGCACTTCCTTTAAGGCAGTAGAGGTGTCCTGGGAGGCATCAGAAGATGGATGAGGGAAGAGCCGGAACATGTGGGCCAGGCTCCCCGTGTTCCCTCTGAGGAGTGACTCGCCACAGTCAGATCCTCTGCCCTCTCCAGGTGCTTGCGGATGTGTTTGGCGCCCCGGTGTATGTCATAGACACCGCCAACTCAGCCTGCGTGGGCTCCGCTTACCGAGCTTTCCACGGTAGGTCGATGGATGGGGGAGAGCGGGTGGGCACTCACTGGGCTGAGGAGGGTGGAAAGGGGAGACTGGGGTGTCCCCAGTCTTTCGGGACATTGGAGTCTTGACGGCTGTACCTTCATTTTTCTCCTTCCCAGAAGGCGAGAACCAACCCCAATTTTCAGTCCCTTTATCCTCGACGTAAAGTGGGGAAGGAGTGGCAGGGTCCTGAGTGGCCTGCTCAGGATCAGGCTCAGCACAGGCTCATTGGGAATGGACGTAGGCATACTGAGGGCACGAGTGCCTGGGTGTGGACAGCTGGTGGGCAGGAGAGGTGGGTGAAGTCCAGAGTCTTTTCAGCAAGAGCGGGGCGTTGAGTCAACCTCGAAGGCTTAGGAGCCAGGCACTTCAGGACCTTGGAGAGCGCCATGGGCGTCTTTGCTCTCCTGGAGGCCTCTCTCACACCCCTGGTAGTAAAGGAATCCCCCCACCTGGGAGCCTTGTGGCAGGAGCAGCACGTGCCCACAGGAGCGGTCTTCCTTCCGTTTGGTCAGTTTTCTCTGCCCCCTGACGGCTCAGGCTGCTCCTCCGGCTGCCCATGTACCTTAAGGGCTTTGTCTTGTCCCTCTAGAGCAGCAGTTCTCAACCTGTGGGTCGCGACCCCTTTGGAGGTCGAACGACCCTTTCACAGGGGTCGCGTAAGACCTCGGAAAACATATATAATTATATATTGTCTTTGTGATGAATCACTATGCTTTAATTATGTTCAATTTGTAACAATGAAAATACATCCTGATACATCCATATCAGATATTTACATTACGATTCATAACAGTAGCAAAATTACAGTTATGAAGTAGCAACGAAAGTAATTTTATGGTTGGGGGTCACCACAACATAAGGAACTGTATTAAAGGGTCACGGCATTAGGAAGGTTGAGAACCACTGCTCTAGAGGTTCCGTTCTTCACACGTTTACTTTTTAACTTTTTAACACACCTTTAAAATATATAATATATATTTATTTTTTAGAGAGTGGGAGGGAGAGAGAAATAGAAACATCAATGATGAGAATCATTGATCAGCTGCCTCCTGCACACCCCCTACCAGGGATCAAGCCCGCAACCCAGCTGTGTGCCCTGACCAGGAACTGAACCATGACCTCCTGGTTCATGGGTTGACGCTCAACCACTGAGCCACTCCGGCCAGGCTTAACACACCTTTTAAAACATATATTTCCTACTGACATTGAGGATTAATTCGGGACCATGTCCTCCTCTTAATAATTACCTCTTTTATTCCCTTCCCTCCACACCCCATCCACCTCACAGCACTTCACACCAGCTCCTGCATCATGATCATTGGACACTTTATTTCCAGATTGTTATGTTTTCAGTTAAAATTTACATCGTATTGGGTTTTACTTGCACTTACCTATGAGTTTTTTTTTTTTCTTTTTTAACTCACTGCAGTTTCTCCTTCCAGTCTATGCTAGTTTTTTGTTGACATATACAACCTAAATACGTTTTTAAGAGGGAATTCAGTAGGTGATAATTTTCTGAGGCTTCACATGGCCAGCAAGGGCTTTGCTTTGTCCTCCCAAAGAATGTGACCTTGGCTGGGCAGAGGACTCTAAGTTCAAAATACTTCGCTTCAGGACTTTGAAAACACGTCCACAATCGTCCAGCCTTCAGTGTTGCCCATGAGAAGCCTGGGTCTGCCTCCTCCTCCTCCTCCTCCTCCTCCTCCTCCTCCTCCTGCCAAAGCAGGGAAAGAACTCCTTTTCGGGGAGGACTTTGCTGCTCTGCTGCATGCGTTTCTCTCTCATCTTTCCTTTTCTGTGCCTACTTAGTTGCCAAAGGTTATCTGGGGCATTGCCCTACTCTGCCCCCCAAATCCAAAACCCGAGCTAAGACCTAGCACAGAGGTGGGGAATGTCCAGCCCGCGGGCCACATGAGGCCTGTGAAATCATTCGGTCTGGCCCGGCCAAGGCATTAGGGATGAGTTCATTAAATGTTAGACCAAATATAGCAGGCTAATTTTTAAGTGGATAATTCTGCATGGCCCGCGAGTGATGTTATCAATATCCAAATGGCCCTTGGCAGAGAAAGAGTCCCCACCCCTGTCCTAGCATATCGGTCCCCACCCCGAGGTGCCTCAGCCACTTCATCTAGAGACCTCTTCTCCCCAGCTGGGTCCGGGGATGACTTTCACACGCAGCAGTCCGTGAAGGGGTGGAAAGGGAGCTAGATCTTTTGATGAGTCTCACCGCTGGCCACCGCACCACTCCTCCTCTTCGCCCATCCACACAGCTCCGAGCTGGCGTACTCCAGCCCTCGGATAGAAAACCGCCTCACCTCTTCCGTGGGCTCCTTCAGTTCTGGTGGGGTTGTTTCCCTGTCAATCCGATGCTACTCCTTAAATTGCCTGCAGACCCTTCACTGTCTCTTGCCCACCTGCGGCAACCTTCCCTCTTTTCCAGCACTGCCACGCGTTTGCTTGGTGAGTATTTATCGAGTGCCCCCTGTATGCAGGTAGTGTGCGAGGCCCCAGGCGCCAGTGGAGACCCAGGCCCTGGCCTCACAGAGCAAGGCAGGGACCGTCAACACACCTGTGGCCGGAAACTGTGAGAAGTGCTCTGAGGGAAGCCGATGGTGCTGAGAAGCGGAGGGGGGGAGTGGGGGAGTCTCCCAAGCCAGGGCGGTTCTTGGCCGCCGCTTATCCGAGGAGAAAAGAATAAGTACATGGAGAGAGAAGAACATTCCACCCAGTGAAAAGGCTCGGAGGCAGGATTGAAAGCCGCTGGGCTGGCTCGGATGTAGTGAGTGATGGAGGCGACGGGAGGGGTGAGTAATGCGAGGGAGGAGAGGCAGGCGGCCCTCCCCTCTTAGATGCCAGGGCTCAGCCGAGGACGGACAGGTCTATCAGTGAGCAAGACAAACCAGGCCCTGCTGAGGAGGCCTGCACTTGAGATTTTCCTCTTCTCTCTCTCTCTCTGTGTGAATGGTTTTATCAAGGCACGATCATGTGACATAAGAATGACCCAGTTGTAAGTATACAACTCAGTGATTTCTAATACATTTACTGAGGGGTGCAGCCATCGCCCTGATCCCGTTTTAGAGCATTTTGTCGCCCCAGAGAGAAAATGCTATTTCCGGTGAGTGTCCTGGTTTGCAACACACACTGACGTGAACTGAGCTTTCCTTTTCTAGGCCTTGCGGCTGGGACAGGCGTGCCCTTCTCGGAGGTTGTGAAGTTCGCCCCAGGCCCCAGACTAGCTGCTACCCCGAGCCCAGGAGCTGCTCAGGTGAGAGACCATCAGAATTTGCTTATAGCATTTGCACGGTGAAAACCAACCGGGTTCTTTCCCTCCCCCCTTAAAAGGTAAGTTTTTCTTTGTCACCTATGTTGAAGTGGATGTGCTCAATGAAAGGGGAAATGCTTTTTTTTTTTTTTAATTGTCAAGGAACCAGAGCAAAAGAAGCCGGGTTGTCAACTGAGATTCACAGATACCAGTGACTGCTGATTTTATAGCCTCAGGGGTCAGATAGATTGCTGGGCACATCTTCATTGTTCCGTGTGCCTCAGGGCAGGCCCTTCCGTTTCACCGGTCACAGAAGCCACAGAAAGACTGTCGCTGAAGCACAAGGCATGCCAGGTGTCTAGCACTCAGATTTGAAGTCTGGATCCTAGACAGCCAGCCGTGCAGTCCCTCAGGCCAGGAAATCCCTGTGTGTTGGCCCCCACGGTTACAGGTTAGGTTCCCGGGAAAGCAGACTGTCAGATGTCGATTAAGGATGCAGGGGACTTAGGAGGGGCTACTCTTGGGACTCTAGTCTGTGGAAGGGAAAGGAGGAGGTGAGCTGCAGGGCAGTCCCAGTGGAGCCCTCAGCCATCCCTACAGGAACTTCTGAAGCTGGGATGACCCTTTAGAGTTTTACCCAGTTGGGGTGCGGGGCCAGGCCTTTATACTCCATGTCAGCCAGTCATTGCATGCAGGCTGCAGGCCATCCCAGGATGGGGTAAGGCAGCCCTCCATGGCTGAAGCCACCCTCTAAGGGGGTTGTCAGCTGAGGGCTGGGGAGTAAGCTCTCCGTTCCTGAAGGGCAGTCTGGGTGGTCTGCCACAGCATGGGCCCCACCACTGTCCTGTTTGCAGAAGGTCCTTGCAGCCCAGGGCCAGGGGCGGTGCAGGCAGAGGGCTTTATTATTCACACCGGTCCAGCGGGCAGCATGAGCTTCATGCTTGCTTCATGTTTCCTTCATCCTGAAGTGTCCTGGGGTGATGCGGAGTGGGCCCAGGTGGATACTGTGCCCGCACTGTGTCTGTGTCACAGCTGAGGGACCCTGAGCTTAGAAACCTGTAACCTTATAAAGGAGTGGCAAGCAATGCTGTCCAACCTTTGCCCCCAAAGGAGACACTATCTTTGTTATCCCAGATGGCAAAAAAAATGTTCCCTCTGCCCCTAGAATGTGACACTATCTATGTCTTCCAAGGCTGCTGTATAAAGGTCCTTGAAAAGATGGTGGGGAACAAAAGCTGTGACATGTAGAAACACCACTGAGAATTGTTCCTAGCATATTTTGGAAGCAGAAGCTCATACTTTCCAGGTGACAGGGTAACCCACACACATAGGTGTACCCAAGATTTTATTTACTACTAGAGGCCCGGTGCATGAAATTTTTGCATGGGGGGGGGAGTCCATCAGCCCGGCCTGCACCCTCTCTAATCCGGGACCCCTCAGGCGATGTCTGACTGCTGGCAGTCGGACATCCCTCTCGCAATCTGGGACTGCTGGCTCCTAACTGCTCGCCTGCCTGCCTGCCTGCCTCATCGCCCCTAACCACTCTGCCTGCCTGCCTCATCGTCCCTAACTGCTCACCTGCCTGCCTGATCACCCCTAACTGCGTCTGCCTCAGCCTCTGCCACGGCAACTTCGTCCGGAATGATGTCTGGAAGGTCGTTCAGCATATTAGGCTTTCGTTATTATAGATTGTGTGTCCTTGTGTTTAAGAGACAGCTCAGTGCAGAAGAAAGATCCTACACTGTGATAAAGGAGCTTTGGGTTCTGAACTTATTCTGCCTCTCCCCCACCATCTGACCTTCATGTGACCTTGAGCAGCACTCCTCCTCTCTGAACCACTGTTTCTTCATCTGTGAATCGGGGACAACATCTGTCCTGCCTACTTTTAAGCTGCCAGTTGTGAGGCTTAACGAGCAGCCTTGACAATCGTGGCTTTATTATATAACAGGAGGTCTGAAGGTCATTGCCAGTGTTGGTTCAATGGTTCAACAGTGTCAGGGCTCCGCACCATGATCCCTGAAGTTCTCCAGATCAGCAGTGGACAATGAGAACCTCATGAGAGCCACCTGGGTCATCTAAAAATTTCCAGTAGTCTCATTTTTTAAAAAGGTATAAAGAAAGAAATGGCAACTTTTAATAATATTTTATTTAATCCAATAAGTCCACAATATTGTCATTTCAACATGTAATCATTAAGAAGTGCTAATGTGATATTTTGCTCCTTTTTTGTCTGGAGCTTCTGAAATCTGGTGTGTGCTTAGAGCACTAGCTGCATCTCAAGTGCGCACAGGCCCAGATGGCTTGTGGCTCCCGTATTGGATCCTGCAGCTCTAGACGTGTCCCAGATGGTGGCGGGGTGTCTGCAGCTGCTCCAAGCATCGTGTCCCCCACCACCGCACTCATTGGGCAGAGTCTCTCCTCACACACTTCTCAAGACATCCTGGTCTGTTCCTTCAACTCCCCAACAGGCTACGACTTGGTCACCTGGCCAGCCGTGGTTCTTAGAAAGGCTGTTGCAGGGTCTGGCTCTTTCATCCTCTCTAGGATGCAAGGAAGCAGGTAGTTGGGGAAAGCTAAGGAAACAAGCCCCTGCACCTGCCTGGTTACGTGTAGTAAATACTTGTGTGTGGCCACGCCCCCTGGTTTGCTCATGGCCGGTCACTAATAGCTCATGGAACTCTTTACCCCCCATAACTCCCCTCCACCCCGTTCCCACCCCACCCTCCGCCCTCACTCCCCACCCACTGTCCTCATCCATAGGTGCACGATTTGAGAATTTGTTTTTAAAATTTTGTAGATTTGATAACAAAAATCGGCTTCTTGTCATAGTTTGCATTTAAAAAACATTTTAAACTCCAGGTTTGAGAAGCAGTAGCATTTCCTTTTTTTTTTTTTTAATGGTTTGACGCTTCCTTTCTTTTGCCCGGCAAGAAAATTAAATGGCAAGTAAATGGGATGTAAAGATTTTAAATTTCAAGATGCAAAGAGATGGAAGAGGCCCCTCCCCTTTCTCTTCTAAACTGCTCTTTCTGCCCATGCAGGTCTATGCTGCCCTCCTGCCAAGATATGCCCAGCTCGAGCAGAGAATCCTGTCCCAGCCCCAGGGGCTCCCGGAGTGAGTCCTGCAGGCCCGGGTGCCTGTGGACCCTGCCGGCTCCGACTCGCTGACCCCACTGGGAGACATGGCCCTGGACAGCAGGGGCCCTCTTCCCTGTTCTGGGTGCCTGGCCCCTGATGTGCTCCAGCCCTGTCTGGGGCCACCTGGAAGCCTGTCTCGCACACCTTCCTGAGCATCAGCGGGCTGCTTGTGTCCCTGTGTGCTGTGCTCAGGGCAGGAGAGCATCCCTTTCCTGTCTTCATTTCAGGAGGCAGGATAGCATGGAGCCTGGGATATCTCCAATAAAGACTGACTTTTCCTTTCCTTTTTATTAAAACTATATTTTTATTGATTTCAGAGAAGAAGGGAGAGGGAGAGAGAGATAGAAACACGAACGATGAGAGAGAATCATTGATCGGCTGCCTCCTGCATGCCCCCCACTAGGGATCGAGCCCACAACCGCAACCTGGGCATGTGCCCTGACTGGGAATAGAACTGTGACCTCCTGGTTCATAGGTCGACGCTCAACCACTGAGCCACAGTCAGCTGGGCTGACAATTTCCTTTGCAAAGGCAGAAGTAAATCTAATCCAAGGAACTAAATCAGCAAAATAGGGAAGAGAATGCCATCCCACAAACCCTGACCCCAGCCCATCCCCTTCTCCAGTCCTGGCTCTCTGGCCACTTGGAAAATTGTCTCAGGACGACCAACTACGAAGTATCCTAGCTAACTATTACACGTTAAAGGAGAAGGATGGGGAGGGGGTGTCTCTAAGCCAAAAGACCTAGTTTTTTACAAGAAAAGATCAGGTTGGTATCAGACCTCTCAAAGAGTAAGTAGCAGTGGAGCAACATTTTTAAGAAACTCAAACTAAAAATATGAAATAAGTGTTTAATTCCAACTAAGCTGCCCAAGTATCAAGGATAATTTTTAAGAAGTTTTACTCATGCAAGAGCTCAGGAAGTAACCCCTTAGGATTCTACTAAAAGACAAGTTTCATCCAACGAGGAGATGATTGGTGAAACTAAAGCACAAAGACTGGTGGTGATCATTGAATATCTTTAATTTGGGATAAAAGACCAAAATGAAAGTGGGGATAAGGGTGGAAGAATAGCATCAAATGGTATATGGTTTGACAAGGTACAAGTAACACAACTAAGTGAATGAAAAAGGAGAGAGGGAGAGGACCGTACGAAGAGCTCTTCATTGCAAAGGCAATATGTGTGAGTCAGTGTCATTTAGAGTTGACAGGCCATATAGTTATATATAGTTATATATAGTGAGCATTATATAAAGGCAATAGTGTATGGTCTTAAAGGTAATCAGTAGGATAAAAATAGGCATCTCCTTCAATGCCCACACACACAATAATACAGGGGGCAGAGCACATAGTGAGTCATAAAGATCACACATTAACCAGTGAAGAAAACAGGAAAAAACAGGATTAATAAATGAACAGTATTTTGAGTATTTGAAAAAAATCAAAATAGGTAAACTACTAGGTAATAAAAAGGGGAGAAAGCAGTAACACAAATTAAAAATAGTGAAAAATTAACGTTGAAACCAAATTTTTAATTTTAAGGACTACTTTGCACAATTCCACAAATACATTTGAAAACCTAGAAGAAATGGTAAACACCTAGGAAAATAGGTAATTTACTAAAATGACTCCAGTAGTGACAGAAAGTTTAAGCAGACTAATTTTCATAAAAGAAATAGGAAAGATTATAAAAGAACTACCCTATAAAAAAAAGGCACTAGGTTAGATGGGGTCACAGGGGAATTTTACTAAAGCTTCATAGACCAGTTAATCCCTATGCGACAGGATGTATCCCAGAACCCTGGAAAAGAAAAAAGAACTCTTCCAGATCATTTTTATGAAGCGAATATAACATTGACCTCTATACTAAGTTGCAAACGCCCCAATTCTTCACTTCTCTCTATAGCCATGTATTTTGCTATGGAATTTTGTTACGCTCTCCTCTCTTACGCTCTCCTCTCTGACTGAGGTCAGCTCTGCGAGTTTGGACAAGGGGATTTTCACGAGCAGGATGTAAGCCGGGGCTTGGAAAGCCCTTATGCAATTGGGATTGCTCTCCTCTGCTCTCTGCCTTTTTCATGAAAGTCTCGTGCCTAAGCTAGCCTGACCAAACCCCTCCTGAATCAGCCAGGGGGTGACTGACTGCCCCGACATGTGAGTCCAGATGAGACCTGAAGAAATGCCCAGCAAGCGCAATGGACATCACCAGCCTACAGACTCATGAGCTGAATAAACACGATTTTAAAGTGTGGAGATTACAGTGATTTATTACACAGCAATAGATAACTGATATAAAAATTGGTGCCCACACAAAAAAGGAAATAAATGTGACCTTGAAACTGGGCTGTGGTGGAGAGAGGAAAAATGGTGAAAAAATCCTTACAGGAGTCTGAAAAAAAATGCAAGGTAACCGAGTACCCGGGTAACGTGGAAGATAGAAAGTTGACCTACTGGACATTTGGGCTTGAGAAAAGAAATTTCTAAGCAGAATGTTGAAAGTGTCAAACTAGCCAGATGTAAAGTAGAATTTAGAGGGGATCTACAAATGCTAGAATGAAGAAAATAGCGTTCTCATCTTCGCCCCTTTAAGCCAAAAGAGATTATCAAATATAAGATACGGCTTAAAAAAAAATCAAGGGCTCAAAGATACTTTGCTGAGACCTCTGAAAGACTCAAGGCACTGTCTTAGAATCTTTCCAGCTGATTAAAGCGGCTTTCAGGAATCATAAGTTCTTGTCCCACAGCATTCTCTCATGCCTAAAGTATCAGGGGTTAAGGGGAGAGAGAGAGAAGAGAGAAGAGAGAAAGAGAGAGAGAGAGAGAGAGAGAGAGAGAGAGAGAGAGAGAGAGGAAGAGGAGATCTCAACAATAATTCTGGGTATGGCTTTTGGTGCATAGAGCAAGTTCAAATCAGACACACAAAATCCACGGAACATAAAAGTGATGTCAATCTAGACAAGAAGGGACCAAATGTAAAAAGATTTGGGCCCCCAACTATCTATGGGCAGGAGGCAGGCTGAGGGTGTTGCTCTAATGGCCTATGTCCCAAATGCCCTCTTTAGCGATGCTCAAGGAGGGCAATGCAAAGTGAAAGCT